GATTTTGCAAAATGTATCATTACATCTCATATAAGCTAACTGAACATTCAAGTCCTTTCCCATCAACACCAAATTGGGGTCCTTCATTAAAAAGCCATTAGAACCGAGGACTTGAGAATCTGCGACTCATTTTCCAAAAAATCTTACGAGAAAAAATCCTCATAAGTCATGAACATTTCAGTATAACTTACGATCAACTTTAGTCGTAAGATATTTTGTGAAAAGAGCCTCTGGACTATTTACAGTAATTAAACGATTGTGTATATATATGTGAATTTCAGTTATATTGTATATTTGTTTTGTACTTGTCACAAACTTATTGTTTAAAGTTGATATGACAATAAACATTTGGATTTGAATTTTTATAATTACCTGTTCTGTACATAAATATTATTTTTATCCATTAAATTAACATTAAGATATCTAACAGACAAACCTCAAACATCCTCTGACAACTATCATTACATTTTAACTTACCAAAATTTTACAACATTTATTCCAGGTAAAACTGCCAAAAAATTAGAACTATTCCCATTAGAATCCATAATTCTCAATAGTTGCACTTTTCACACCCAACTTTTTTTTTTATTAAATCGAAGCAGCAAGTTTGTTCATATATACTTAATAGTTATATAGATCTGTGGGGACAACATTACAACATATCAGGTAAAATGTATCATGTCATATTCTTATATCATTAGCATATATTACTGTATAAATTTTCATGAAATTTGAATCCTGAAAAAGATACTTATTTGATATAGATCTTGAAGTATTCACAACTTGGTACCCCAGTATTTATGTACATACTCATTTCCTATCTTATTATGTATAAATGTGTCATCTTACACAATTATCTTTAATCGTATATACAGCATTTTATCATTTGCTGATGCATTTAAAAAACAGTAATATTACCAGTACTGTAAATACCCCGACCCTTGCATTCAATGATCAAACATATTTTAATATGGAGAGTCAGTCATGAAAATGTATTACTCCTTCATTAATCACCAGTGTAATGCTACATGCTAAATTCCAAATCAATGTATTGCACATTATTGACATGAAAAATCCCAAAGATGACATCTAGTAGAAATATGAGAAGTGGTTACATAGAAACCAGGTGAGCAGAGATGTGTAAATGCATTACACCTTAAACCTCACCAATATTATGCAAAATGCCAAATTTCAAATGAATGAGAGGTATAGTTATATATTATATCAGAGCAGATGTTGTAATCCAGATTCTTGGCCAGCAAAAGACATGAAAATACAATTCACACCTTTAAATCAAATCACCAATATAATATAAAAATTATAAGAAGATGTGGTATAATTGCTAATGAGACAAATCTCCATCAAAGACCAAATGACATAGAAGTTAACAGCTATAGGGGACCGTATGGTCTTTCACAATGAGCAAAACCCATACTGCATAGTCAGCTATAAAAGGCCCCGAAATGACAAATGTAAAACAAATCAAACGAGAAAACTAACGGCCTGATTTATGTAATGCTTATTTCTATCTCCAAATCACTGTGATACATATATGCCAAAGAATGAGTTTGACCAAAGGCTGTAAAATGGATTGTGTTCCAAACATTTTCTCAAATTTTCAGAATGATGAATCTATGCACCTCAATAATACATTGCTATTTTAGGTTAAAACATTTGGTCTCCATTAATATATAGTTAATTCATTAAAATGGTGGATTTGCCAGACATTGTGACCATTTGACTCACAGATGCCAAGAAATAATAAAGAGCACAATCTTTGCCAAACAGATATTCACACAGGAAGTGAATGTTGTGCGAATCGAATCGTAACCTTCTGACAAAAAAATCATTTAGGGCAACACTTGATATCTATACTAAATTAGCTGAAATCTTTCTTTTTTGGTGGAGTAGGCTTAAATCTTAGGTTTCTTTATGCATACATCTTCACCAATTCTATTGTGGAAAAAAAAAAATTATAAAAATTACTTTTGCACCAACACTCTTTCTTTTTTTACATTACATTGGTTTTTCAAAAAACGAAAGCTGTCTAAGAATAGGCCTAGATTTAGTTGATTTTAATTGTTCGACTTACTTTTCAATTAAAAGATATCATTTTTTTACTAATCTAAACGAGAATGAAAAAAATTACCTGTAAAGTGTGCTGAAAGTCATTCCTGCTGATTAAGCTTGCACCAACATGATGTAACAGCATCATCATTAGATGATGTAAAGTTATGTTAGTATGAAAAACACATGTGAAACTATGACTTGAGGATAAGGATAGGTTGTAATAATTCATATTTTGTCTCTGTACAAAACTATTTATTAGTACAACTAGTCAATAATCATTAAAACTACAGATCTTGGAGGGATTTACTTGTTTATAAATATACCACTTGACGTGAATGATTTTTGAAAAGAGGGGCAAGGGGGTAGCTGCAAAAGATTACCCCACATCTATTTTATACACATGTAATTATAAAGTTCAAAATTTAGTCTGTTCTTTATTCAAAGATTTTCAGTTTTTCTTTTTTGGTTGAGTATGGGGAACTGATGTTATCTAAAGTCTTTTTTTTCAAATGTTTGGATTTCATACAGGATAGGCTAAGTGATCATAGTGCAAAGTATGCAATTTAACTTACTTCCTTTTTTCCTAAAATCGTGCAACTCATCACATGACACAGGAAGAGAAAAATACATGTCGACACAGGATACGTGCATGTTAAGACAACAATTATATAAACAAGAACAATACAGCACACCATTTCCTTACTACGACACAACATCAACATTCTCAATGAGAAAAATTATATATCTGGATTAAATATATCAAGCAGTCTCAACATATGTGAAAATGTAGTCCATAATAACCACTGAATTTCATAAAATGCTAGAACTGTAAATTAAAGGACTCCAACAACAGATGCCATCATCTTCCAGTTAAATATATATAAATTCTATCACTGTATCGAGTGCTATACAACATTTCTCCACTTGAGACAGTTAAATTTTCAAATAAATAATGTGAAACTTGCAGAGGGTGTTTTAAATATTTAAAATTTAACTGTCGAGAGTGGAGAAATATTGTACCTCAGGTGGTCAAATCTGTTCCTCTTATGACTTTTAGACATTATGTAGGCAAACTTAATCCTTCTTTTCAAATGATCTGTTCTTATAATGTGATGTTATCAGGCATGTTTGCTTTTTTTCGTGACGTCTCAATAGGAAATTCAGAGGAAAGAAAGAAAATTTGACATCAAATTCAAATTTTGACCAATGAAGAACTGAGATCAACGAACCACATGTTGACTAAAAAGAAATAATCAGCAGGTCAGAAAAGGGAATCGGCTAAGAATTAGAGAAATATATATATATATATATATCTATTTTTAAACTTGAAGAAAATACATGTACATGTACATGTATTTTCACCTGAATATATACCATTTTCCTAATAAACTTTAAACACCATCAATGGTATTAAAATTCTATAAAAATGCCACATACCTCATTTCAGCTGATGAATTTATTCCCCTAAAATCACTTTCTCTGACAGAAGCTTTTAGCATTATTAAAACGTTATCTTGGAAAAACTCCAAGCTAAATTCTAGCTCTATATGCCAACAGTGAAAGACACTTGCAGAAAATTAGTACACATCTTGAGTTCTTGCATGTGGAATTTCTCCATGGAAAGAATAAACAATCTTTAAAGGATGATTTATTGTTTAGATGTGATATAATTACTGAGAATATACAAATGTAAGCCTTTAAAGCGGACATCTGTTAAACAAACAGGATACAACATCTTATTTCTCATCAATACTGGCCATCTTGACTATATCCACAAGTTAATCTTTTGTGTTTTAAACCTTGGACAAATTACAAACTGCTATTTCCTTTTTGCATAGCCTCCAAATTGTTTGCCTTTTCTGTCAGACCATACAAGTTCTCTCTGACATGTTACACAAGCCCCATACACGAGGCATCTAAATGTTTTGATTTGGCCTCAGTAACTACCAACCAAAAGTGTAACAGTTAAGTATACTAAGAATGTTGATAATTTTTTTTTAATAGAAAATAGTTGTTAGTCTTCCTGACATATAAATAACACCTAGGTTTCTCAGGCATGTCGGGGCCTCGGCGGCCGAGTGGTTTAAGTAGTTACTACTGTAATCACTAGCCAGTCAACACTGAGGTTGTGAGTTCGAACCCCACTTGTGCGGATGCTCGACTCCAATCTTAATTGACTAGGATTGTCAGTTTTCCTATCGAAGGTTGGTGGTTTTCTCCGGGCACTCCGGCTTCCTCCACCAATAAAAACTGGCCGCCACGAAATAGCCCAAAAGCGGTGCTTAAAAGTGGCATTAAAACACCAAAAAATCAAAAAAAAAAATCTCAGGCATGTCACAACTAGACAAAGACTTCTTTTCAAAACTTGTATACATGTATATGTATAATTTCAGATGTAAGTTATCATGTAACTATCAAAGGCTCATTTTAATACTAGAAGATGAGGTACATGTTTTTTAAAGAATTATACAATATTTACAAAATCACAACTGTTATTCTATTATTGTGATACAAGCATTATTTTTTAAACCACTGTGAGACAGTATATATCTATAACTTAATTATTACATAAAAGAGATAATCAGAATAATAAATTCTGGACAGGTCAACAAACCACAACCACCAAGACCGGACTTCTAAAAAAAAACAACCAGCAACCATGGACAAACAACACAAGGTCCAAATAGCCTAACTTGGTGCAGGCACAAAATGTTATGGTTTTAAGTGGGAACTGACAACTTTTTAATTAAAATACAGTTAACTACATAAACATGGGTTAAAGTATGGAAGGTGCCAAAATACTGAAATCTGGAAAGGAACGTAAAGGAGCAAAAATGTCAAAATATGGATATCTGACAAATTCCTGAAACACTTTGTAAGTAACATTAAAATTAAGCATACAGAAAAAATAAAGAGGATTAACTACTTACAAACTTGGTGAGGAACTTGGCAGCTCCTCTGATGTAGGATTTTGACGATTACGTTTCCGATTTAACCTTCCAAGACTCATTGTCCTCTTCAAGGATCCCACAAAAGTGCTTCTATAAAGTGAAAAAACAACAAAAAGGGTGTCAAATCAATACGTGCAAACATAAAATACACCAAAAAAGCAAGTGAAATTAAAATATGCAAAATATTTACATCTATTTCAAGGGTTCTTACTTAAACCATGAGGTACAAGCAGAAATATGAGCTAACACCAAACAAAAAGTCTACATTAAAAACAATTTTGAAATTTTTTTGGCATAGTTATAGATATATTTTTCAAAGTTCCCATCTCTATGTTAGGTTTATTTCAACGTTCTAGGCTATAAATTCATTTTTTTCTTGTTAAAAACTTTATTTGTACCTCAGAGGTCTTAAGTAAGTACCACTTGACAATAATTTACAACAAAAATACCGGAAAATCCCTCAGTCACTAACATCTACAAAAAGGTCATTGTTTTCTTCCCAACAATTAGAAGTAAAGAAAATCAGTCCTTCAGTGAAATAAAATTTAAACTACATAATACATCTGTATTTTTATTCATAGTATCTTATCTCTCCTCAACACAACACTTTTTCTCAAAGTTTGGCACTTATTTTTTGATAACTCAAGGTAAGTTTGTTCCTAACTATATAAATTATGAAGATTGTTAAGAAATTAATCTCAGTTACCATATCCATTGTATTCAAAATATTCTCACTTAGTGTGAAGCTTTGAAGCTTTTATCATTTTATCATTTTTACTCATCATAACAGTCTTTCATCTTAAATATACAGATAAAGAAAACTTCAATTGAATACCATATCTAAGTTTTTATGTCCCTTGTTAACATGATAGTATCTAAAGTACCTACAGTATGTACAGATACCTACTGTCAAGATTGCTATATAAGTTAATACTTTATAATTTTACCGAGCCCAATAAGTACCCAGATTTCCAGACTGGTTTAGTACAATAACAAAGCTTGCTAGATGACACTGTCATTCTCAAAGTTCCTTCCCTTTTCTTTTTCTCATTGTACTTTCAAACTAGTTGTACTTCATGTTACAGCATGAACATTTGCTTTAATAAATATTTAAGCTTACTTTGTTAGCTGCATGTATTTTTATACTATGAGTGATGTTTTTTTACTCTCCTAAGATTTAAATTCAATAGATTGTTTTCATATTACCCACTTTTGACTCCAGATTATATATTTTTTTGACAGGGTACCTACTCTGTGGTAGGACATCCTGGTACTCAGTCAAGTAAGAGCAACCAAAAGAAGTAAAATCAAACATAATCAGTGCAATTTGGGGGGAAAGTTTACTGTGATGATTTTGTTGTTCATAGAAAACATGAAACAGTTAATTTTCCCACCAAATTGTACTGTTTGTTAGCTTGATTTTACTTCTTTAAGTTTCTCTTACCTGACCAGTACCAGGATGTCTTAGGAGGGAATAGGTAACCTGTCGAAAAAATATAAACTCCGGAGTCGGTAATTTGAAAATAGTCTATAGCCAGATTTTAAGTTCAGAGTTTGGAATCACAGTCAGAAGAGAGCATAATGAATATCTAGTACTGGTAATAATGGGACAAACAACAAGCCATTCTCCCAAATACAGATAATTTTTTTAAAGAATTATTGTCATAATCTGTTAATATATGAATATACATCCTTTTTTTTTAAATTCTGAACACAAATTTATTCATACAACTTAATTAGACTTTGATCTGTTTAAACAGTAGTTAGTATATGGTTTTGTGAGCTGTGGTCTTCAGAGCAGTAGTAGTTTCAAGAAAGAGATGATTGAATCAATGTTTGATAAACACAAGCAGGCAAATGTTCAACTATGGAACCCAATGACATAAAAATAGAGACATCTAGACATAAGGTCTTCAACAACAGACAAGTGTATGTGCCAAGCTGGTAATTAACCCTGAATCTACAAGAACTTTGTGAAGAGACTAATAAAGATCAGCCAAATTCCCATCATAAAAAGGATATGAAGTTTTTTGTTTCCAAGTCCAATGGCATATGGTTCTGCAGTACTTTTCCCCATGTTATAATTCCTGTGCAGATTGATAAAAGGGTTGTTCAAGTATCCATACTTCCGGAAGACATTTGTTTGATAAATTAATATGCTTATAAACCATCTAATCAGATAAAAAAAAACATCCTTGTTCATCAGAGATGAAATACTGGTAAGTAAAGATAAAATCAACTTTATCCTAATTCAACTACAAATAACAGATATGAACCACTTTTTACAACCTTCATTATACATTACTTTCTCTGCTGATATTTCCTCTTTCATTCTTCATTTGCATAAATTCTAGTTAAAGTCATGAAAGGAGAGAAACATTAAGCTTTCAAATCAGTTGCATTTAATTTTTGGAAAAATTCTCTTTGAAAGAAATAAAAAAATGATATTTAATAATAGTCTATAATAGAGCTAAATAAATAAAATGTCCATTCAATGTAAAACTGTACCCGAAGTAGTAGGATTTTCTTTTTAAAGATCTTATATTATAACAATAAAATTTGTTAAAAATTACCTTAAAATGCATTTTGACTGTTTGCAAAGAAATGCCTCTGACTTTGATGGCCGAAGTGACATCTTCCAAATATTTAATTGCTCTGACATACAGATAATGATTTGATGAGACAAGTTTATATATATATACAGGAAAGAGGAAACCTAACTGTATCCGTTAGATAACGTTGCTACTTCAACTGAACTATAACTTGTTATTATTTTTATTACACCCAACAATCTTTAAGGATATACTTCAAATGTACAAACTACTCTCCTAGACAAAAGATCCAGTAATGAGAACGTTTAGCATTCTGATGATACTGTCTAGATCTATGGCCTTCACGTTTATTATACTGTAAATTTAGAATGGTGCTTTATTACGATTTACCCCTTTCCCTCAATGCTGTAACAAAATACTGGAAAACTTGACATGTATCGGTGAATTATGACTCATTTTGAGAAAACTTTCCTCTGGTTTCAGACCCATTACAATTATGAAGGTCCTAGGAAATTTATGATTTATTATGTATCTTTTCAAAAAATTCATTAACTATTTAACAGATATAACAGAATGAAAAGGAAAAACAATGTGCAAAGATCATCAATATCACCTTCACAATAAAATGACTTCATTACACATGTTACATGTACCGAGGATGTTTGCCAATATGCAACCAATAAAAAACATGAATATTGTCACTTTCTTATATGTTCTCTTAGTAGCCAACGGATGTTAAACAATCATCTAACACCAAAGCAGATGTATATGATAGAGAGTAGATGAGGAAATTATTTACAGTGACATAAAATATTTGGTAGAAACATCTGGTGGAATTATCTTCACCTGGCATGATTCCATGGCTTTAAAAGGGACATAACTCTAAATCAATTTACTGAGTAAATCTGAAGAAAAATTTTGCAATTTTACAATTTAACTTTTTTCTATCTTTGCAGATGTGTCCAATAGGTAAGGAGAAAGTAATGACTAAAATTTAACATAAAGCTCATACAGATGCAATTTAAAATAAAGCCCATTAAGATGCAATACTTTTCATGACAACTATTGTTCAATATAAAACTGTAACTTAAGGATTTTAATATTTGCAACATCTGCTGAGCACTTCAAATTTTATTTCCAACAATAAAAAGGTATCCTTTATTTGGTCTTTCTAGATCTGACCTAGACAAATGACTCTGCTCTCTTGGTAACTAAGCAACAGATTATACAAAACAACATAAAACAAGAATCAGCTTCATGAGAAATGTAGTTGTGAAAGTGCTTACAATGTTGATTTTCCAAAATGTTTACATTTCAAGGAAAGGACACAATTTCCATTTTTAAATATTAAATTAACTCTGATTTTATTACTTGCTTTTGTAAACATTTGACAGAAACCAGAACACATATGTTGTTATGCTAAGGATACCCCAACTTGTAATTCAAAGTATTGGAAAACAGGAAGTAGGTGTCTGACATATCAGTAAAGCACACAAACATTACCACTCATTACAATATTTGTTGGACAAGATAATTTCAAAAGTTCCCTTCTCCTAGGGTGAGGCTATAATTTCATTAAACTCAGATGAGAACTGTACTGTGAGAATGCTTAAAACATTGATTTTCTGCTATTTTAATTTTCAGAAATTATAAATTACACCCAAGTTTCAAACTTAACTGAGATATTACTGATGTTAACCTATGATATAAATTTCATAAACATTTGACAAGAAATGTCAGTTTTTCCAAGACCAGACAGGTGAACTGATGAATAGATAGAGACTTGATATGTCTATGTCCCTAGCAATACATTAAGACAGACAAAATTACTATAACATATATTACATTAAGAAAATATTATTCAACAAGCATTCTGAGAGTATTGCATGGCAATACATAGTCCCCTACCGGTAAAAAAGAATTTTCTAAGTTCAAGGACCATAGCTCTGCACAAAATCATCAGAACAGAAATTCAAACTTGATCTGTAATTTGTCATGATAAAACTATATACCAATCATCAAATCCAAATCTTCAAGTGACGAAAAAAAGTGAGGAAAACTGATTATTTGAGTGAATTTTCTAAGTCCCCTTCGACTTCTTCGGTAGGGGAATAATGAGTATACCCTAATAAAACTTTTATGCAACAGCAACATACTTTTAGAACCCCCGCCCTCCCTGTTTTTTTCGACGATCAATGCATTTGAATGGGGACATATAGTTGGAACCCCCTCCCCTTTAACCTGGGTTGGGAACCCCCCCCTTTTAATAAACTGCTGCGCCATGAGCGCATGATACGCCCGTCATCTTGTGTGTGAATTTTTATGCAATAATCATAAATAGTTTCTGACATGCGGAAAGCCCATTTTTTTTTACAAAAAACTCAATATCTCTAAAATAAAATTTTGAATCAAAACCAAAGAGTATACAGATCTTTAGATTAATATAACTAAGAAGTGTGTAAAATTTTAAGCAATACTCATAAATTGTTTTTGAGATACGGCGCGACATGTGAAAAAACCCTCCCCCTTTTTTTACAAAATACTCAATAAACTCAAAAATAAAATTTTGAATCATCACCAAAAAGTATACAGATCTTAAGATTAATATAATTAAGAAGTGTGTAAAGTTTTAAGCAATAATCATAAACTGTTTTTGAGATATGGCGCGACATGTGAAAAACCCCTCCCTCTTTTTTAACAAAATACTGAATATCTCTAAAATAAAATTTTGAATCATCACCAAAGAGTATACAGATCTTAAGATTAATATAACTAAAAAGTGTGTAAAATTTTAAGCAAAACTCATAAATCGTTTTTGAGATACAGCGCGACATGTGAAAAAACCCTCCCCCTTTTTTTACAAAATACTCAATTAACTCAAAAATAAAATTTTGAATCATCACCAAAAAGTATACAGATCTTAAGATTAATATAACTAAGAAGTGTGTAAAGTTTAAAGCAATAATCATGAATTATTTTTGAGATACGGCGCGACATGTGAAAAAAAACACACCCCTGTTTTAGTTACAAAGTCCCGTAACTGAAAAAGTTGTAATCTTATTTTCACCAAAAAGTATACAGATTGTTTGACCATCATAAGAAACAACTATTTAAAGTTTCATGAAATTTGGATAAGTCGTTCTGATGTTACGGTGCGACATGTTTACGCAGGACAGACAGACGGACGGACGGACGGACGGACGGACGGACACCGGACATTTGTATACCATAATACGTCCTGTCAAAAATTGACGGGCGTATAAAAATGGCTGGATCAGCCCCTGAAAATCATCATTTGAGGGTTATCACTCCTATAAAGAGTTTACTAACTATTTCAGCAAAATTTGAAATAATTGTAGATCTTGTCTTGCATAGATCAATTTTGTTATTTGAAGTTTTTATCTATCTTTTATAGTTTCAAGATAATAGGCAAAAACACCAAAAATTGGTAAAAATCATCATTAAAGAGCAAGAACTGTGAAAATTCTTTACACAGTAAACCATGCTCAAATGAAGCTTGATTCCACAAATTTCAGGAAGCTCTGATATATATGTTCTTGAGAAAAATGCAATAAAAATTTCAAGAGACAGAAAGACTTGTGGACAAATGTAAACCAGTTTACCTCCCCTAGTGAGGACCATGAGTATAATCTATAGTAACTTGAGGAATAATAGAACCCTTACTCTCAGAGTGTTACTGTCACAAATATATGTACATATGCATAAGCTCAATGTATGCATTTTACAAAGTATCTGTTGGCAAGGACACAATATACTGAACAGCGGTAACAAAAAAATAACTGAATTCTTTGTTTCTATCTTTAAGTATTGATTCCATCAAGGAAGTTTGATATATCTTCAATACATCTACAAATCTCCATTGTTTGGTTCTTGAAAGACCCATAATAAAAACAAGGAATAATTTTAAATCAACTGGAATATAGAACATTACATGGACAAAGCATTTCACAAACTTACCCCAAAATACATGCTGGTCCCCATGACAAGCTACAGATCCATAATCAAGAAAAAAGTCACACACAGGAAACAAGGTTATTAATTAATTGTCATTAATCTATTGAATCATTACTATTTGTCACCTGCACCCTGTTATAGACCAATTGGTTGGTTCCAATATGTATTATTATACATGATGGATTAGTCTATTCATAACATAAAGGAGTACTAGCTTTTGTGTGAAAAGGACACTACTAGTCTGACCTCATTTTTCAAAGTTCATATTGATTTTTTTTGTGCTAAGACTGATCACATCCATTTCAGCATAATAAAAAATCAAAATTATTCATTTTTTAATTGATATGAAAGATAGAACATATTGAAGCTCTTAACCAACTACAGCTTCTCCAAACAAACAGCCAGAAGACAGATTAAAAAATAAAAAATGTCCATCATAATACTTTTCAGCACTATATATATATATATATATATATATATATATATATATATATATATAATTACATCCTTCAACCCTTCAGCAAATTACCACCCATCCATCAGTTGTAATTCACACCTAAATATTACCTTTCAGCAAATAAATCAAAGTATATTATAATATTTTATGCATTTTTTATAGTCAATAGGGGTACCCAACAATATAGAAATTGACCCAGAATCTCAGACTTAAAAGAAAAACAAGGGGCATCCAGTAATACACAACTCATCCTTCTGATGGGACTTAGGTAATTAGCCCATATCAAGAGAGTGCCACACTACTAGCATGAAAAAAAAACCAAACTTATGGAGCTCATAATCAAATTTTTTGACAGAAGCAATGTTTCTAGATTCTGGACTGTTAAATTATTGGGGTCATGAGTTTCTTTTTGATGATAAGTATGATTTATCTACTCTGTATACAATACTACCACATAATCTTTTCAAACAGAAATGTTCAAATTAAATAAATGGTATTTCAATAAATCAAGGTGCAGCTATATACCAGGCAATTAATTCAGGTTCTTTTTAGATATAACACTTACAAAAATGAAAATTATTCATCCAAATTTACCTTTATTAAATCCAAAGTAGAATTGGTCTTTTTTCAATCTTGACATTAGAACTTCTCATTGTAATCTTTAAACCAAATATAAACAGTGTGATTTTTCTTTCCAACTTATATCCTTTAAGGCAGACATATAGTATAAACTACTTTATTAAGCTTGGATAAAAAAATTCTCCATGCTGTATAATGGAAATTAGCAATAATATCATGATTCATGACATTCAATCCTTTTACTTATTCATTACCTTTCAATATATTGAAATTTGTAAAATTTCTAATGTAAAACAAATTCCTGGATATACTCATAATTATTAGAAATTGTTAAATATTACTTTCCCCCAATATTTACCTTTCCATTATTTTCTTTTGTGCCCTAGTCCATACTGCAGAAGGTGGCACAGTTTGTCTATACCGGAGGGAATTTTTTCTGTTATAAGCAACAGAGCTTTTTCTCCTCTGAGAACCTGAACTTTTACGTTGATGAGTGACAGAACTTTTTCGCTGATGAGCAACAGAATTTTGTCTCTGTTGAAATATTGAAGGTCTCCTTCCTGGAATATCAAACCTTTCAAACTGACCTGATTTTTTTCTCCTAATTTGAAAGCAATATGGGAATTTTTTCCTACCCATTTTCAGATGTATTTGATGATAAAAAACAATCCTTGGCTACCAGAACACCAAAATACCTTTACAAAATCTCAAATATAGTTCATGAGCAGAAAATGTAATAACTTCTCCATCAAATACACAAAAAATACATTCATATAAAAGGATGTAATTTGTATATGTTTTAATCTTGAGATTAACTTGTGACAAAGATCCTGTTATAATCCATTTATAGAAACACTGTATGCATTTCCTGTGCATGCAAATAATTGTAAGGATGTTAGTTTTTCTCTAAAACAATTACTGCAAACAGGACCTAAAAATTACATTTTTTAAAAAGATATGCTGCTTTGATTACCAAATCAATTAATTTCTTTATTTCTTGTCTTTTTCAATGAAAAATAAATTTTGAAAAAATAGAAAAATTACTGAGACTTCGTATGAAAATTACGCAATCTTTTCATCTTTTCATTATAATTCAAAATGAGCTGGGAAGACAATAATATATTTTTACAAAAAGTTCTTACTTTTTTAAAGATTTAATTATATGTTGTATAAGATTTTGAGATAATTAGTATCGAATTGAATCGTTTTTTTTTGTTTTTTTGTGTGTTTTTTCTGTATAAATTACAAATAATCAACTGATTAATAATTATGAATAAAATACTCAAGCTGCTAATCTTGTACCATAATTTGAATCGTGACAAAACCAAACCTAACTAACTGAGGAGTTAATTAAGACTACTTATGAGGAACGACAACTCAAACAAGAACAGCAGACATTTTTTGCATGTTCACAATTTGGTGGATGAACTAAATTGGCAAGTCGCCATTAAAAAACAAAAAGAAAAATCTTCATGAAAACAATTTGGTGGAATAGACCAAATTAATGGAAAAGTTTTCATAAAAACAGTTTTGTTATAAACCAAACAAGCAATTTTTAGTATTCCAAAATTATAAAAGAAAATGTCAATATAAATGTATACTATAAATAAGCTTTATATCCAGTAATAGTCACACAACAAAAGATGTATTTATTTATATTTGTGACAAGAGAATTACAAGAAAGCTGTCTACCATTGACATGACAAAATAAATGGTGGTTTTTATGACTTAGTTTTATATATAATTTAAAATTATGATTCATAGCAAGATCTCTTTTCTTCATGACTCTCACTTTCCACACGCTATATTCTCATTACATATTCCACAACGTTTTACTGATAGTGTACATGGAGGCACCATCCATCATAAAATTTTTACCTTTATTTTTCTTTTCATGACAAGATAGTGCTAACATGTAAATTTGGAAAATCCTGAGGAGGTTAAAAACATTTAGGTTTTACTTTTCAAATTTTGACCTGAATTGATTCTCTAGACATTTAGTCCAAAAATGAAAGGTTGGACAATTTATATGTATTGGTTTCCCTTTTTTCTTTTATTAAACTATATTTTTTACCACTAATGAAGGCAAATCCCTACAGTCAAAGGGAGACAAATTCATTCTACAAATATCATAATTAGTTGCATTGTGTCAATAAAAGCCTGCAGCAGAAACCATAGTGTTGTTATCACACATCATGCAACATATACTTACGATTCATGGTCAGACAAGTTTGATGCTGCTCTCTTTCTATCAATCTTTTCCAACTTTGTCACACTTTTTGTTCTTTTTAAATTCCCTTTAAATCCTTTCCGGATAAAGAAGTTCTATAATATAAATATGTTTAGTGTTAATCATGTTATAAACTTCCAATAGATTAATTACTCATTTGACAGACCTTACTCTGTAGTAAAATTGTCTTTAAGTTACAAAAGAGTGAAAAGACATGAAAAATTTTGTACTTGTTTGAATAAGATGATGAAACAAGTTGCTTTTAAAAAAAAAAAGACAATACGTGAACCTTAGAACTATTTTATGCTATTTATTAATTCAACTAAATTAAAAATTATATCTAAGTGCTTTCATGGCCATGTGTGTGGAGGATAATATTTTCTTTTTAAATTATTGTAAGTCATGACAATATGAGAGTGGTGTTAATTATAAAGTGAGATGAAAACAAAAAGGGAATGTGTCCATGGGACACACATGATGGCCCTGTTTGCATATCATATAAAGTTTTAAAGGGACATAACTGAAGAACGGTAAAAGTGACACTACCCAAATTTGTAGTTGGTCTGACTTTTGTGGTAATAGGTATTATGTATAAGTTTCATAATATATGGTTGATGCAAACTTAAGTAAGAGAACGGAAACTTTTATGTTTGTAAAGGGGCATAACTCTAGAACAGTAAACGTTACACAACCAAAATTCTAACTTGATCTGTTTTTTGTGGTAATAAGCATTTTGTATAAGTCTCATACCATTTGGTTGAGAAAAACTAAAGTTAGAAAACGGAAATGAAAAATTCAGCAATTTTCATTTGAAAAGGGGCATAACTCTAGAACGGTTAAAGTGACGCCACCAATTTCGAACTTGATCTGCATTTTGTGGTAATAAGCGTTTTGTATAAGTTTCATAACATTTGTTTGAGGCAAACTTAAGTAAGAGAACGGAAACCAATTCAGTTAAGGGTAAAACGTAATGCCCCCACCGCTACGAAGGGGGCATAAAAAGAAATGGATTCCCAAACGTATATACTTTATTAAAGAATGATAATGATTCAAAACATGGACATATGTACCTTCTTTCAAAAATTCATAAAATAAATCTAGACATAATTAATGAGGCATTGCGAACTGGTCAGATAGCAGAAGACATTAAATGTTCCTTACCGACCAATTATCAATAAGTGTAACTCTCCCACGAGACGCATTGAGAGATTTCTTGATCTAATTATAAAACTATTATTGAAGAGGCTTAACTTTTACATTCGAGAAACAAAAGATTTTTAATAAAATTGAGTCACACGAGGTCAAAAAAGCATATAAACGCATGCCAACAAGAATACCTTGCGAGGTAGTAGTTGGGAGACTTTTGAAAAGGGACCCATGCTTAAACAATTTTAAGCAAAAAATCCCGAAACACTGATAAAATTCTGAATTATAGGCAACAAACATTTATTTAGTTAGCAAAAACGGTTTAAAGTTTTGAGATTTATTACGTATGTTGATTGAAGGAACCGCATTTCATAATAATTTTTAATTTTAAAACACAATTTCATAAATTCAGATATATTTATTAAAAGAATGTTGGTCTCAGTTTATTATGTATTTTCAATCTTAATTCTTATATTGATATATAATTGCTTAAACAAATACCCAAGGTAAGATCAAATACACTCTTTTTCTAACTTTCCATGTTTACAGAATCAATTGTATGCTTATTCAGTGTGAAAATCTAGAGGTAATTGTTTTGTGTATTTGTATTTTTTTCTTTTGCATAACATATTTTTTAAAGACCTCATGAAAGATTCACATGCAATTGTTAAATCTATTTCCTTATTTAAAAAAGTATATAATATATTTTGTTATTATTAAAAATATGATTATTTCCTGGGAATATTAACAAACAGTCTTTATTTTATTTGTTTTATTTTCAGTTTTTGAAACGGACATTTTTGTTTATCTGATTTGTCAAAATGACATGTGCATAAAATTTATTGTTACAAATCAACAAATCCCAAAGCCTACTAGAACTCATTATGTAGAAACCACAACACTATTAATATCTGGCACTGATGTTCGATACCATAGGTCGTTAAATCTTGACCATTTAACTTTCACTTCTTTATCAAACGTTGCAACTGTCAACTTTGCTCAAGTAAACACTTACGATGCATAAATATAGCTTTAACACACATGTTTGAAAGTGATCTATAGATACATTTAGTTTATTATCATATATCAGATAAGAGAATAAGCGATTTGTGACAATTTCTTTATTGCAACATTTTAAATATCTCAGATACCCCGTATGGAGGTGCTCTTAATTGCAGGAGGCTAATACAGATAAGATGAATAAGTGTTCCGAATGAAGAATAATTTAGCTTTCGAATATTCCTCCATAGACTATATTTCTAACTAATAAATATGCGTGAACCCTCAGGGGTTCACGCAAAAACAAGACCAAAACCGGGCATGCAACTGATTGAGGTACTGGTAATGTGTACAAATTTCAAATTATCGGCAAAATGGAAGTAGCTACATGGCAGATGTAAAAACTGCTTACTCGTTATAACTCAACATTACAAAGCTGCAGACTAAATATTAAATCATTCCCTTTTCATAGAAGCCATGGAAACTTTGATGAAAGTTTTCTTTTGGAGGGATGGACGGAGTCAATCGATAACTAGACCTGCTTCTACCTTCGTTGATGCAGGTAAAAATTTACATGTAACAGCAGATAGCAAGTTATAAACAGTTAACCACTAGTTTATGGTATTGTTTGAGTTATACAAGAGTTAACAACTGATTTATATATCTATTTTAGTTATACAAGATTGAACTGCTGATTTATATATATTTATTTGAGTAAAACAAGAGTCAAATGCTGATTTATGAATCTGTTTGAGGTAAACCACTATTTTAAGATTTTGACTTACATATCAAAGTATGGTGGATGATAAGACCATAATATTTCACCCACTGATCAACATATGTTACAACATTCCTTCTTCATATTTTTTACTTACATGAACATATTGAACGTTTTACTTACATGAACATATTGCAATATACCATTGATCAGACATAAATAAGATTTGTCTTGTTAAACAAAGTTAGCCAGAAAGAATCAATAAATCCCACTTTACATTAGATTTCAAATTCATATCATCACTTTATAACAGACCATTAAAAAATCAATCTGAAATTTTGAGTAATTAGTAGTGTGTGATATTTCAATATTTAACTTTCATGTTAATGGCTTTATTATAATAGCATGCATTTGTTATTTTCACGGAACAAAGCAAAAAATCGAGATTGGTTCAAATTATCAAATAAATATTGCATCAATATTAAATTTTCCATGCAAGTTTAGTTGAAATAAAATTGATGGGTAAAGTTCTATCCAGTACAGAAACTTAGTTAACCCAAAAAAAAAAACTCATTTGTAATTGAACCTAAGATTTTCTGATATAAACCTATATAACTAATATATGTGCAAAATTTGTAAATTATAGTAGCACTGTAGGAAAGGTATATGTCATCAACTGTTCTTATCTCACAGATTCCTCACACAGTTGTTCAATTTGTAAATTATAGTAGCACTGTAGGAAAGGTATATGTCATCAACTGTTCTTATCTCACAGATTCCTCACACAGTTGTTCAATTTGTAAATTATAGTAGCACTGTAGGAAAGGTATATGTCATCAACTGTTCTCATCTCACAGATTCCTCACACAGTTGTTCAATTTGTAAATTATAGTAGCACTGTAGGAAAGGTATATGTCATCAACTGTTCTCATCTCACAGATTCCTCACACAGTTGTTAAATTTGTAAATTATAGTAGCACTATAGGAAAGGTATATGTCATCAACTGTTCTCATCTCACAGATTCCTCACACAGTTGTTCAATTTGTAAATTATAGTAGCACTGTAGGAAAGGTATATGTCATCAACTGTTCTCATCTCACAGATTCCTCACACAGTTGTTAAATTTGTAAATTATAGTAGCACTGTAGGAAAGGTATATGTCATCAACTGTTCTCATCTCACAGATTCCTCACACAGTTGTTCAATTTGTAAATTATAGTAGCACTGTAGGAAAGGTATATGTCATCAACTGTTCTCATCTCACAGATTCCTCACACAGTTGTTCAATTTGTAAATTATAGTAGCACTGTAGGAAAGGTATATGTCATCAACTGTTCTCATCTCACAGATTCCTCACACAGTTGTTCAATTTGTAAATTATAGTAGCACTGTAGGAAAGGTATATGTCATGAACTGTTCTCATCTCACAGATTCCTCACACAGTTGTTAAATTTGTAAATTATAGTAGCACTGTAGGAAAGGTATATGTAAATTATAGTAGCACTGTAGGAAAGGTATATGTCATGAACTGTTCTTATCTCACAGATTCCTCACACAGTTTTTCAATTGCTGATTGATTTATTATTTTTTGTTTAATGTCCAGTGGCAAATATCTCATATAAATATTCAGTTCAACATCAAATAAAATAAGAAATTGAAATAAAAGGCTCTACAGAATGGACTAGCCAGAATTAAAGTGGAAAATTACGGACTGAAATTGTTGAAACAGAGTCAGAAATTGGTCTTTCAAAAGGTTCTTTAGCAATTCAAAGCATGGCACTCTCTCAACCAGGAGGCATCAGAATTTAAAGTTGACATTCCAATTGGGCATGGCATTGCACAACCTGTCTACAGAGCTTAGGTTTTACTGCTGGACAGGAAAAGTCAAGATATTATACCCAAGTCACCCTCAAGGGCTATCACTATAACAACAGCAGTTTCACTAGCCTGATTATAGTCTTTTAGATTATTCCATAAATCACAATTGAGACACCTAATGTACTTTCAAATACTATAAATCTGAAAATTATGATTCGATTCAATTATTGACAAAAGACACAATACTGATATTTTTTGTTTGACCACCTTTACTGAATCATATCCTAAAGAAAACTATTTTTAAGAAATGACGATGTAAAAGGAGATATAAAACATTTTTAATTGAGGAATTAGGTAACCTCTAGGCAATTTATAACCCATTATTTAAAAAAAATGACACATACAAAATTTAA